CCAACCTGCTGACAGAAGGTGAGTAATGATCGCTGAGATAGGACCTCGAATGTGACGTGACCTTCTGTTAGGTTCGATTGCTTCTAAATCCCTCCGAACGGCATCCCAAACGCGAAATACACCAGCATGAGACTGAGGAAACCTAATCCAGCAATCCAGCCAAGTCCTGAGGCACGACGTAGGTAACGAAACCCCTGGATCCCGAAGTGGAGCTCTGAGGTCCAGGAGGGTAGTGAGACATTTGCCTTTTTTTCCCGAGCCAGAAACTGCCCCAAGACGTTGCCGTAACCTCCTGAGTTGATGGCCCATAATACCGTAAAAATCTAGACCGTAGTTAGAACAAGCCTGAGGGCCAGCCAGCTCAATCTTCTTGGTGGTGAGATATCGCCTAGCGGCCCTAGAATATCCCTTCAACCTGTGGTGTTGCACGAGCCCCTTGGCAGCTCGTTGCCGCCTGGTACGCCTGGCCTGCCTGACTCCCGCGCCTAGGTCAATGCCCAGGTATGGAGCCTGCAGAACTGCCTTGACTTGGATGCGCCGGCGCTTTAGCCGACATGCAATTTGCTGCGCTGCGGAATGAACGGGGCTGATAACAACACTCTTGTCCGCCAACTGAAGGTGATACTCGTCCATAGACTGCGCCACCTGACTGATAACCTGCACAGTAGAATCAACCACGGCCCTATGCGACCCCACAATTTGCAACATCAGATCGTCAATCCAAACCCTTTGGGTAGCCGAAAACGGTGCCTGGGAAATTCTTTCAATAATGAAATAAGTTAAGCATCTGGCAAACCTGGTGCCGTTGCGGAGCCCCTGGATGATTGATTTGTAAGGTTGAAACGCATGACTGTTAGCCCCGCTCTGGCTCAAAATACGAGGCGACATGCATTGCTGAAGTTCCAAGCCCAACATAACCGAAGGAAACCCAAGGTTCAACGCTGTGTCCACCAGGATGTCCCAGAGGATGGAATCGTAAAAGCCTTGAATATCCAGGATAGCCTGGCTGAAAGAGACCCCCAGACGCTTGCAAACTTCAGCATCCAGAACTCTTCGAAAGGCCTCCCTTAAAGCTGAGTTGCCAGAGATTGCAGCGTCCCATGCTGGTGTGGTCTCCGACGCCCACACCTTGGCATGCCCGTCTCTCGCCAGGGACCAGAGACGGCAAACCATGCACAGTAGTCCGATCACCCTGTCCCCTCCAGACTTCTTGGCTAGTAGTTTCCCCAGCACCGCTAATACTTGCCAGGGCCAGGTGAGCGCCTGCTCACAAGCCGTGAAAATTGGCATAAAGATTCCAAGGCAGCATCTGGTAGCCTCTCGAGATCAAGAGGCGTGAATTGATCGATGCCAAGGCCTGCTGATGCTCGCATTTTCTGAAGCGCTGCACGTAAATCCTGCACCGTGAGTTCTGGTAGCTCCTCCGAGACCGCCTCAACACGAATGCGAGACATAAGCTCCAACACATGTGTAGGCGTGACTGGATGTTCCGACCAGAGCGCGTGGTACTTCTCAGCCTTGGCATCGACGAGATCGATAGGATGAAAGAGTTTGACTCCACGGTGCAAAAACTCGTGAACAGGAACTGGCTCCGATCGCAAGCTCCGAAAAACTTGGCCTTGCTTGCTGCCGTCAACAATCCACTGCTGAAGCCGATACAAGGAGCGACGCATTGCCTTGCGCTGGGCTCTCTTGGCAATTCGCTCACCCCAGCTAGCCAGTTTGACAAGGACATCGACGCCGAGGTTCCCAAGAAACTTGAGGTAATGAACCCAAGCTGCTAGAGAAGGCTCCAAAGTATGCGGAAGAATGACGGTGTGCGACCCCTCGGGAGCGTCCTCTGATAATTTAATGCCTGTGTGCAGGAGTTCTTTAATCTGCTTGCCCCTGTTATCCCATTGCCGATGTTTGCAGAGCCTCGAAATGATAACCGAAACCCTGGCCCACCAAGTAGCAATCTTGTCGGACAGCGGAAGCTCGCGATATTTCTGCGCCTGCTGCACTGGCTGCCGCGCGAGTTCAGGGCCGTCGGCTCTAGATCGTCCGCGAATCGCATCTCCCAAAGGATCGGCAGAATGATGAGCTGAAATCGTTCTTTCAGCAGCCTGGGCCCAGGCTGCGAATAAGCTGTTGACCCCCAGTATGTGCGGCCCCCCAACCTGAAACGCATGCGACTCAAGAAAAAAGAGACAACATCGCTGCAGGCTTGAGGAACGAAACCCACTTGAACCAAATGGTGACGCCAGCTGGAGTCAGGAATGGAGAAGGAAGGGCTGGAGGGCTCAACCTTGCTCAAAGATTCATCGCGAACGTCCTGACCTGGGGGTTCCAACGTGGTGGGGGGGGGTCCGAATTCAGCTGATCATTCTGCCTGACCTCTCCAAGGTCTCCTTCAGGAAATACTGAATTACCCTCGTCCTCGCCCCAGAGCGCTGGGTCAAGATCGAAGGGATCTGATTCGGCCTGCGACTTAGGAGCCTCTGCACCTCCAATGTCCGATTGGCCGAGCAAATCACCGAAATACTCCTGACACGCTTCGCGAACAGATTCGATTGCAAGCTGCCTGGCCTGGGCCCGCTGGGCCCTGCTCTTGCTGGTCCGACTCCCGACCTGAGGAAGAGCCCCAGGGCGAGCGACCTGCGGTAGCTTAGCGGGCAACTGCAAAGCGCGGGTGACGAGAGACTGACCACTACCTGCTAGCTGAACGACTAAACCACAGTGAGTGCCCCATGGCACATCTAGCCTGGCTTGAATTCCAAGAATGAAAGGTCTGGCTGAGACGCTGGTCACGAGGTAATCTATGTGACTGCTGCCTGTGCCTGTGACGCAAGTAACTTCAATATCAGCGGTCATGGCGACCGCTTCAAGATTGTCGATAAACTTGCATTTATTAAGCGCAGACGGAGACATATTAAAGTCGCCCAAGATGATCCAGGGAAACGACAGCGCCGAAACACATGCTCCCAAACGGGCCAACCTACGGGCATTATCTCCAGAGAGCCCTTGAGAGTGGAGCCCGTAAAAGAGCACAAGCACTATCGAATACCCTTGCATATGCACCGTGATGGGGAGGAAACCATCGAGGGCAGAACAGGAGGCAACAGCGAGCTCGGGAAAGACCTTGGCATCAGCAGTAGATTGTACCTGCCTATGCCCTTCCACAAAAAAAGCCTCGCCCCCTTCGTTGGCCGTAGAGATTTGTGCCTCCGAAGTTTCTCTGCCCGAAGGCCCAGCAGGGTTAAAAAAGGACCGATGAGAAAAAGCGCGTGCCTCCTTGGCCCACTTGGCCGTAGAAGCCTCGTCGACATGGGTTTCGGCGAAGCCCCAGACCTGGTACCGAGAGACGTTCTCCTGAAAAAATCTGATAGCCTGGGGCCCAAGCTGGGTGACGCTACTGTAAAAAATCTGGAAGGCCTCAGATTCAGAAGCCGTAGTCGACGCCGAAGTACTCCGATGTGCCGACCCGCCTCCGACATCCTTGGACCCGTCAGACTTGACCACACCAGCCGAGCCTTCGCGAAATAGAAGATCATGTGCCGTGACTGACTGGCCTGCACTGCCCGTCAAGCCTCCTGACTCAGGGACCGCCGAACCTTGCTGCACCCTGGGCGCTGATGGTCCCCTAGGGTCTCCCATAGCGCCCAGGAGGCTGGCGGCCCCCGAGGGGTCGGGGCGTGCAAGGACTAACAAGTCGTCACGGCCGTAATTGTGCGCCTCCTCGATGGATTGCGCCAGCACCGCGGGGGGCGTGCTGACGCCCTCGGAAGGTCAATGCACCAGTGGAAGTCGCCGCCGCCGCCGCTGATGCACCGCTGGACGCTGCATCCTTGGCTGCCGCCGCCTTCTCCGCTGCCTGGAGCTTGACTTCACTAATACGATCAGCTTCGCGCTGGAGTTGAGCTTCTGGAGACTCCTGGGTGAGGTCGACTGGAGTCGGGTTGGCTACCTTGGGGTCGTCGCCCTCTGCACCGTCAGCCCGCCTCTTCTTCGCCAACCTGTCGTGGAGCTGCTTCTGCATCTGCTCCTTCTTGTTGACCCAGGTCATGATCTCCTCGCTCTTGGTCTCCATCTGCGTCTTGAAGCCTTTGAGCTGACGCTCAATCTCCTTGAGTTCATCTTTCTCGCTGTCTGTGATACCTGGAATGCCGTCTATGTTCTGGAAGAAAGTCTCGTCGAAACACACTCCGAAGAAACCCTCCTTGCCATATTCTGGAGCTGCAATACCCATGCTGGACGCCAGAGCCTTAGTAGCAGTCAACTTCTGACGTTCCGCTCGAGCAAATGCCAAAGACGTCTCCTTTTCTCGAGCTTCAGCTCGAGTCAGGTTGTTCCTGGCCTTGATGAGGGACTGAATGGCCTGGTCGTGCTTCAGCGTGACATCACGTACCGCTCCTGATGCACGTTTGACCGCTTCATCGGGCGAGGTGTCGCTGCTCTGAGAAGCCCCTTGACAAGGGGCTTCCTCGACAAGAGTGGCCGCCTCGAGCTTGGCCAAAGGCGTGGGCTCCGTTGAAGCGCCCTTGCCTCCGACGGCCACGGGGGCCTTGGCGAGCTGATTGTCGCTCTTCAGACTCTTGTCACCCTTCTTCTTACCCAAATGCAAAGTCAGCCACGTGCCACACGCACATGTAGAATTGCGTGCTAGAAGGATGTCGTTGTACTCACAAGTGTCACAAGACGGGCAACGTGTCCATAATCTGCGAGTGTTGCTGCCATCATTTCCTTTCCCCTTGGATTTGGCACCCTTGTGCCCTCGTCCACCCATGGCTGACAAGAAAGCCCCCTTTAGCCACCGTGCGAGCAGCACGGCGCACGGGCCCCTCAAGCACCCCGAGGAGGTAGGGACTGTGGTTCGGTGCGTTGTCCACTGCAACTGCTGCTACAGGACGGAGGGGCACCTGAACCAGAATGGCTTGAGTGGGTGGCGCAAGGGCGCAGGCATATCAAGTGTAGCAAGCAAAATTTTCAGGAGGCATAACAGGGACGCCTTTGCCCTCTCCCGGGATGCAGCAGTAGCCCTGATCTACTTAAATACCGCTGTCACGTACAGACATGTCGAAATCTGCGTGACACAGAAGCGGAAAGGCCCTCGGCACCAGATACGCGTCCGAGTCGACTCACGCTTCGCGCGCTCCTTGCTCGCGTCCGAGGGTCCTCCCTCGACTCCTTCTGGGCATGCGCGGCCGCTGTAACCTGCGTGCCCCCCCCTCTGAGGCTGGCTCTGCACTGGTCCCCGCGACTCGGATGAGCCGAGCGTCCTCGTTCAGTCCACGCCGAGATCTGTGCTTCTCGGCCAGGCCTGCGCCCTGCTCGTGCAGCGACACAAAAAAAGGGGCCAGAGCCAAGGTGGGACTCTGGCCAAAAGCCGGTCGAGTGCCGTCCAGCTCGCAATCGAGACGTCATACTCGAAACCGCGAGATGCTGGCCGTGAGACACGCTGGGCAGCTAAATAAGCAGCTACCAAGAAAGACCTGCCTTCGAAGTCGTTGCAATTCGGATTGTTGAAAATATCATGCACTGGTGCGTTGAGCTCCCTGGGAAGACTGGGGGCAGGCCGATGAGCTCATATGTAATCTCTGCTGAAGGTAGTTATGACAATATGCAATGCCACACCATGTATGCGATGTTTGATTGGGCTATTCCAAGCCGTTTATAGTGGATTCTGAGTCTGCACAAAAAAGCAGCCTAAAACCTAATTAGGCGAGCTCTGTGCCAGCTCGCCCTGGCAGGCCAGGGCGCTGGCCGAATCTGCGCGAGTGGGCAGTGTTCATGGCCGTTCTTATGCCTGCCATTGAAGCAGAAGCCTGGGAGAAACTCATCAAATGGACCAAGTAGTATCGCCCACCGACGCGTCGTCTGCTGTGGGGTGGCGCAGCACGTAGTCTGGCACCTTCATCACCTCTTCGAGCCCGTCGGCCCCGAACAGCCCGCCGTCGCCCTGGGAGCCGCCGCCTGCGCCGACGCGCCGCACCAAGACCGTGGCGTAGCGCTGGTCGGCAGCGCTGAACCGCTTCGGAACGGAACTCGTGCCCTGGGTGGCGTCGATGCCTTCTGCCTCTGCCTCCGGCCCCGCCCCCTCCTCCTCCCCGACGACCTCGGCCTCCACGAAACCCACGTCGGGGTTCCTGTAGAGGCGAACGCGGACCCCCCTGTCGTAGCGCCTTCTCAAGAGCTTTGATGGAATGTCCCTCAGTGCTGGCAGTACCCCGCCCTGCGTCGCAGGGCCGGCGAACCTCTCGAGGTCCGCCTGGAGCTCAGACATGACGTACGCCTGCAGCTCCTCGTGCTCGTCGAACGCGCTCTCCAGCCTGACGTCGTGAACGAGCCCGGAATGCCCACCGTGCCTCGACCCGTGAACTCGGGCTGGGAACCAACCGCCGAATTTCTGGGAGAAGACGCTCACGACGTCGTGAACGAGCCCGGAATGCCCACCGTGCCTCGACCCGTGAACTCGGGCTGGGAACCAACCGCCGAATTTCTGGGAGAAGACGCTCACCGATTCGCCCTCGACGAGAGGCATACGCAAGTCTCTCACGTCCACGTTCTGCACCGTCTGTCCGGTCCCACCCAGCTGTACTTCGTAGCTGAACGCATTAACCTTCAGGGCCTTGTCGTAATGCGTGCCATTGACACAGAGGATCTTGGCCGGCAGCCATGTTTGTTTACTCTCTGACCAATATTCCACCGACTGCCCCTTGTGGCAAAGCTGCAGGGTTGTGCTGGTTGCCGACCCCGTGTCGAACGTGACCGTTTTGGAACCATTGTCGCCAATCTGAGTTGTTATCCTCTCTGCGACCGCATCCTCGGTCTCGATGTTCAAATCATAAGTCATCCACACCATGCGGCCGTGCTTCTTCTGTTGCTCCCTCCAAGTGAGGCAGTCGACATCGCCGTCAAAGAGAGGCTGCTCTGCATTCCCTTCCACAGGACTCACCTTGACACCAGCGCTGCGCAGCTTCTCGAGGAGAGGGCTGATCGCATTGGACACACCATTTCTTGGGGCGCTTGCGGTACCGAGCACGAGGCTGTCGCCAGGATGGTCTGCGACGCGGTGGAGCCCCCGGGCGTCCTCCTGGCCGTCGACCTTGGGGACGTACTGGTCCTCCTTCCTGCTGTACGAGACCGAGATCACATGCTTCTCGCCATCCGCGAGATACGTCTTCCCGCTGATGCAGTCCTCGCCGACCTGCCATGCCGCGAGGCCCTGCCGGATCACGAGGGCCTTCGCCCCGCCCCCGCGAGCCGCGCCGCCCCGGCGGGGGAGCCGCCCGACCAGCAGCGAGTCCTGGGCGGTGGTCCTCACCCCGATCTGCAACTCGAAGTCAACCGTGCCACCGAAATCCAGGTCCACTGGTCCGACCGGAGCGCCCTGGCCACCACGGGGCGTCAGGGTGGCACAGCCTGGCACCTGCCCCTTCTTGCGCGTGTCCGCGTCTCCGTCGACGATTCCCTCGTCCCTCGTCCAGTGGAGGTTTGAGCCACGGCTGCTGGGATACCTCCTCCTCCGGACGAGCCAGCCGAGCAGGCAAGCACAGAAGACGAAAGTGACAACGATCGCAATGGCAACTCTCGACGCCTGCGCCTCGCAGCCCTCGCAGGTCACGGGATCCGGGCCGCTCGGGCAGCTCCAGTCGCACGGGCACCCGACGTACTGCTCGCACGCCTCGGAGCTGGCCACGCCGCTGGCTCCCGGCGCGGCGCTCGCGCTGCACAGCTCGACGGCGTCGCTGCCCCACGCCCCGACGCAGTCCACGGTGCGGGTGCGCTCCCCCGCGCCGCACGTGTTGCTGCACGTCGACCAGGGCGTGCGGGCCACCCACCGCGCCACGGGGAGGGTGAAGCGAGCGGACGTCGGCGCCCCGGCGAGGAGCGTGGCGGTGGAGAGGCCCGGCGGGGCGCCGCTGCCGGCCGCCTCCAGGGCAGCCTGCAGCTCGCCGATGAAGTCGCCCACGCCGAGGCCGAGGAGCCCATCCTCCAGGTCTGTCAGGCTGTCAATCGGGTAGGGCTGCAGCACGGCCTCGAAGGAGAGCCCGTGCAAGGACGCCAGGCGCCTCGTGGGAGTGGCAGGGGCCCAGCCGGGGCTCAGCTCCTCCTGCCCCTTGAGGAAGATCTGGCCCTGAAGCAGGCCCAAGAGTTTGGCAAGTGTGCTCTTGATGGCGGCCTCGATTCCTGCACTGCGGGCCCAGTCGGCAGTCAGGCCCGAATCGGATTCATTGGTGGCGATTGCCATCTCAACGACAAAGACATCGGTAAGCTCTAGCGCCTCTGCGTGCCGAGAGTGTATGCAGATCAGTGGGAGTTCGTCAAACTGGCCATTGGTGCACTTGATTGGCTCGATCAATTCGTACGACTCGTTGCATACTGGCGAGCAGCTCGAACCGCTTGCAGTGCCGACGCACGAAGAGCTATCGATCACGTCCCACGCGTCTGGCACCGAGTCCGCGTAGCATGCCATTCCAGCGGTTGACGTTTGTGTCGCCGTCGTAAGAAACCACACAAGAACTTCTGGCTCAGTCGCAAGCAGTGAGGTTACACTGGGCAGGCCCATTTCTTCCAACACCGCCTGTAGCGTCGAAGCGATGACGCTGGTGTCATTGTGCAGCGCAGCCAGGAGAGTTTGCTCTCTTGACGCATCGGAGCCCGCCACGGCGACAATGTAAGCAACTGCGTAAGAGAAGGTGATGCTGCTGAGCGCTCTCGCACCCCGTCGACTGCCAGATGTGCCCGCTTGACTGACGGTTACAGAGTCGGCGGTGACCAGCGACTCCGACATATCCAAATACAGCGAGATAGCGCTCTGAGCAGCGGCCGCTGCATCGGCAGAGGAGACGTTGGTGCCGAATGTGAGCACGAGGGTGCCCCGGACCTCGGACCACCGCTGTGGGGTAGCGGTCGCGGTAGCGGTTGTGGTGCCTGTGGTTGTAGTGGAATGAAGTGTCGAACTTGAGGCCTGGGACGTCAAAGGGGCGGTCGTGCTGGAAGACGAGGTCGTGCTATAGGTCTCGCTTGTCGTAGTCCCTGTCTCGCTGTACGTCTTGGTCGTCGTAGTCCCAGTTGCGGTGAAGGTCTCGGTGGTCGTAGTCGGGGTAGTGCTGCTGGACGCGGTGGAAGACGTCCGCGTTGTCGAGCTGGACGCGGTGGCAGTGGTCGGGGCAGTGCTGCTGGACGCGGTGGCAGTTGTCAGAGTGGTGGTGCTGGACATTGAAGTGGTGTGCCCGGTAGTCGTGCTGGTCATGCTGGATGCAGTCACACTTGTGGTGCTGGTCGTGGACATAGTGGCGAAAGTAGTGGTGTGCCCGGTAGTGGGGCTGGTCATGCTGGATGCGGTGATGGTGTTGGTGTTGGTCAGGGTAGTGGTGCTGGATTCAGTGGAGCTGCTCGTGCTTAATGTGGTCACGCTGGTAATGCTGGTAATGCTGGTCGTGGTGCCAGTGGACGTGGTAATGGTGCTGGTCGACATTGTGCTGGTCGCCGTTCTGCTGGTCGCCGTCATGCTGGTCGAGGTCACGCTCACCGTTGTCATGGTTGCAGTAACAATCTGGATTTCTGGTGATGCAACGGTTACTAAAGTTCCATCAGTTCCTAAGCCTAGCGCTTGCAGCTTCGTTTGCAGAGATGCGGTGAAGTTAGAAGATTCGTTGGCTATCTGCCATGTCGCTTCGAAGATTTGGCTGGCAGAACCTATAGGTGCGACTATCTCGAAATCTGCTACCCACAAGCTGACAGTCGACCGGCCGTTAGAGGAGGAGACAGTCACCAAAAGTTGATCGCCATCCACGCCAAACGTATCAGACAAATGCAACGTTATCGCATCTGTCACATTGTCCACTGTGCCATTGCTTGAAAAATATAAGGAACTGCTTACAACATAAAGCGGGGTAGTGGTGCTAGTAAGGGTGGCACTGGTACTGGTCGCAGAAATGCTGGTCACAGTGGTGCTGGTAATACTGATGCTACTTGCGCTGGTGCTGGTCAAGGTGCCAGTGGTCTGGCTGACGCTGGTACTCACACTGGACGTGGAGGTCTCGGACGACGTACTTACAGACGTGCTGGATGTATCTGACTTGGTTGACACTGTCGCAGTAGCGGTCTGGCTGACGCTGGTACTCACACTGGATGTGGAGGTCTCGGACGACGTACTTACAGACGTGCTGGATGAATCTGATTTGGTTGACACTGTCACAGTAGCGGTCTGGCTGACGCTGGTACTCACACTGGACGTGGAGGTCTCGGACGGCGTACTTACAGACGTGCTGGATGTACCTGACTTGGTTGACACTGTCACACTAGCGGTCTGGCTGACGCTGGTACTCACACTGGAGGTGGAGGTCTCGGACGACGTACTTACAGACGTGCTGGATGTATCTGGCTTGGTTGACACTGTCACACTAGCGGTACCAGAAATGCTGGAATCGGATAACGTAGATGCAGTCGCCGTGAAAGTCTGGGATGATGTGCTCGCAGTCGCACTGGAAGTCCCACTGCCTGAGGGTGCCGGTGTAGCAAGCGCACCTGTCGTCTCCGCGTTGGCAGTGGTAGCCTCCTGGGGCGCCGTCGTAGTAGCCACTCCAGTCGTCCCCGCCTGAACTGTACTGTCCTCGGCTGGTATTGTAGTAACGGCGGCAGTGGTGACAACCTCGGGCGCTGTCGTAGTAGCCGCTCCAGTCGCCCCCGCCTGAGATGTACTGTCCTCGGGTGGTGTTGTGGTAGAGTAACCTGTCGTCTGTGCCTCGGCGGTGGTGGCCACCTCGGGCGCTGACGTAGTAGCCGCTCCAGTCGCCCCCGCCTGAGATGTGCTGCCTTCGGGTGGTGCTGTGGTAATGACAACTGTCGTCTCTGCGTCGGCAGTGGTGGCCTCCTCGGGCGTTGTTGTAATGAGGGAGCTGGTTGTGCCCCCTTCGGCTGTGCTGTCTTCGGATGGTGTTGTGGTGACGGCACTTGTCGTCTCCGCGTTGGCAGTGGTAGCCTCCTGGGGCGCCGTCGTAGTAGCCGCTCCAATCGTCCCCGCCTGAACTGTACTGCCCCCGGCTGGTATTGTAGTAACGGCACCTGTCGTCTCTGCCTCGGCGGTGGTGGCGACCTCGGGTGCTGTCGTAGTAGCCGCTCCAGTCGTCCCCGCCTGAGATGTACTGCCCTCGGGTGGTGTTGTGGTAACGCCACCTGTCGTCTCCGACACCAGAGTGGTGGCCTCCTGGGTGCCAGATGTCCCCGCCTGGGATGTCCTGTCTTCGGCTGGCGCCGTGGTCGCAGCACCCGTCGTCTCCACCGCGGGGGAAGTCGTGCTCTCACTCGCTGTGATGGTCCCTGTCGCTGTGATCGAAGTCGTATTGGGCGTACCTGTGTCCATTGAACCTGTTGCGCTGGATGACTCGGATGCCGTACTCGCTCGCGAGCTGAGACTCTCTGTGAGGGTTGACGCGGTGGTGGTGGAGGTCTCGGTCCTGGTGTATGTGTCCGACATGCTTCTCCATGTCGTTGGCGTCGACGAAGTTCCAGATGTGGATGAGGCGGTCGTGCTTGAAGACACGGTCGATGTGAGGGAGGTCTCCGTTGTCGATGTCAGTGTCGTGGAAGAGCTGTCTGACGTAGTTGTCAGCGTCGTGCTCGAGGACATCGTCGTGCTAGAAGTCTCGGATGTCGAACTCAATGTCATAAAGGAGGTCCCCGTTGTCGATGACTCCGTTGTCGATGACACTGTCGTGGTAGAGCTGTCTGACGTAGTTGTCAGCGTCGTGCCCGAGGACATCGTCGTGCTGGAAGTCTCGGATGTCGAACTCACAGTCTCTGTGAGGGTTGGCGCTGTGGTGGTGGAGGTCTCGGTGCTTGTGTATGTGTCCGACATGCTTGTCCATGTCGTTGGCGTCGACGAAGTTCCAGATGTGGATGAGACGGTCGTGCTTGAAGACACTGTCGTGCTAGTAGTCTCGGACATCGTGCTCACAGTCTCTGTGAGGGTTGACGCTGTGGTGGTGGAGGTCTCGGTGCTGGTGTATGTGTCCGACATGCTTGTCCATGTCGTTGGCGTCGACGAAGTTCCAGATGTGGATGAGACGGTCGTGCTTGAAGACACTGTCGTGCTAGTAGTCTCGGACATCGTACTCACAGTCTCTGTGAGGGTTGACGCTGTGGTGGTGGAGGTCTCGGTGCTGGTGTATGTGTCCGACATGCTTGTCCATGTCGTTGGCGTCGACGAAGTTCCAGATGTGGATGAGACGGTCGTGCTTGAAGACACGGTCGTGGTGTCAGAAGTCGCTGTTGTCGATGACACTGTCGTGGTAGAGCTGTCTGACGTAGTTGTCAGCGTCGTGCCCGAGGACATCGTCGTGCTAGATGTCTCGGATGTCGAACTCAATATCATAAAGGAGGTCCCCGTTGTCGATGACACTGTCGTGGAAGAGGTGTCCGACGTAGTTGTCAACGTCGTGCCAGAACTCTGTGTTGACGATGACCGTGACGTGATCGAACTCACAGTCTCTGTGAGGGTTGACGCGGTGGTGGTGGAGGTCTCGGTGCTGGTGGATGTGTCCGACATGCTTGTCCATGTCGTTGGCGTCGACGAAGTTCCAGATGTGGATGAGACGGTCGTGCTTGAAGACACTGTCGTGCTAGTAGTCTCGGACATCGTACTCACAGTCTCTGTGAGGGTTGACGCTGTGGTGGTGGAGGTCTCGGTGCTGGTGTATGTGTCCGACATGCTTGTCCATGTCGTTGGCGTCGGCGAAGTTCCAGATGTGGATGAGACGGTCGTGCTTGAAGACACGGTCGTGGTGTCAGAAGCCGCTGTTGTCGATGACACTGTCGTGGTAGAGCTGTCTGGCGTAGTTGTCAGCGTCGTGCCCGAGGACATCGTCGTGCTAGATGTCTCGGATGTCGAACTCAATGTCATAAAGGAGGTCCCCGTTGTCGATGACACTGTCGTGGAAGAGGTGTCCGACGTAGTTGTCAACGTCGTGCTAGAACTCTGTGTTGACGATGACCGTGACGTGATCGAACTCACAGTCTCTGTGAGGGTTGACGCGGTGGTGGTGGAGGTCTCGGTGCTGGTGTATGTGTCCGACATGCTTCTCCATGTCGTTGGCGTCGACGAAGTTCCAGATGTGGATGAGGCGGTCGTGCTTGAAGACACTGTCGTGCTAGTAGTCTTGGACATCGTACTCACAGTCTCTGTGAGGGTTGACGCTGTGGTGGTGGAAGTCTCGGTGCTGGTGTATGTGTCCGACATGCTTGTCCATGTCGTTGGCGTCGACGAAGTTCCAGATGTGGATGAGACGGTCGTGCTTGAAGACACTGTCGTGCTAGTAGTCTCGGACATCGTACTCGCAGTCTCTGTGAGGGTTGACGCTGTGGTGGTGGAGGTCTCGGTGCTGGTGTATGTGTCCGACATGCTTGTCCATGTCGTTGGCGTCGACGAAGTTCCAGATGTGGATGAGACGGTCGTGCTTGAAGACACTGTCGTGCTAGTAGTCTCGGACATCGTACTCACAGTCTATGTGAGGGTTGACGCTGTGGTGGTGGAGGTCTCGGTGCTGGTGCATGTGTCCGACATGCTTGTCCATGTCGTTGGCGTCGACGAAGTTCCAGATGAGGATGAGACGGTCGTGCTTGAAGACACTGTCGTGCTAGTAGTCTCGGACATCGTACTCACAGTCTCTGTGAGGGTTGACGCTGTGGTGGTGGAGGTCTCGGTGCTGGTGTATGTGTCCGACATGCTTGTCCATGTCGTTGGCGTCGACGAAGTTCCAGATGTGGATGAGACGGTCGTGCTTGAAGACATTGTCGTGCTAGTAGTCTCGGACATCGTACTCACAGTCGTGCTGGAGGTCCCAGATCTCGTAGTCGCAGTCGTGGTAGAGGTCTCAGTCGTCGAAGAAATGGTAGTGCTGGAACTTTCCGTCTTGCTGGAAGTCGAGCTCGTGGTGGCTGATTCCGTGGAAACAATCGTCTCGGTCAAGGATGACGGCTCCCCCTTGCAGACGTACCGGCGGTATTCGCCAAACGTGCCTGTCGTCGACGACGAGGTGCTAGAAGACACGGTCGATGTGTCGGAGGTCTCCGTTGTCGATAACACTGTCGTGGTAGAGCTGTCTGACGTAGTTGTCAGCGTCGTGCTCGAGGACATCGTCGTGCTAGAAGTCTCGGATGTCGAACTCAATGTCGTAGAGGAGGTCCCCGTTGTCGATGACACTGTCGTGGAAGAGGTGTCCGACGTAGTTGTCAACGTCGTGCTAGAACTCTGTGTTGACGATGACCGTGTCGTGCTCGACGATTCGGATGTCGTACTCAAAGTCGAAGTGGAAGTCTGCGATGTCGTGCTCTTAGTCGCGGTGGAGGTATCAGATGTCGACGACACTGTCGAGGAAGATGTCCATGTGGTTGAAGAGAGGGTCGTGCTGGAGCTACCCGTCGAGCTATGAGTCAAGCTAGTGGTGGACGACTCTGTCGATGTGGTCAGGCCATCGCAAATGTCGAGCCAGAGCTCGTAGGCATATTGCGCCCTCAGGTCGTAGTAATTGATGGTTTCGCCTCCAAGGTTGAAGATACAGCCTGCGAGATTTGACCCCTCCTCCAGGTTGACTGTGCTCTGTGGCCAGGCTACGACGCTCGTCATTACCTGAGCTGTGGTGAAGCAAGCCTCTTGTCGCAGAGCAGGCGTGCTACCAGTCACGACATGATAATACCAGATCTGACAAATGTCTGGATATG